CGCAGAAACCGTTTCTTCGTAAAGTACCGAAATATTGTAAAAAACAATATTTAAAAAATTCGGGCAGAAGTTGAAGAAGCAGCTGCTATGCGAAGGAAAGAGAACCAATCCCACAACTGTGTAGCTACGGAATTACAAAGAGATATTTTAAATATTCCGAGCCATATATTTGGTGAACATAAGCGATGTAAGATCCGTGGGCGTACATGCCAAGAAAACGGTAATATAAAAGAAGAAAATTATGTATCGGGTATGAGATCCTACGGTCTTTATCAAAAAGTAGAAAGTGTAATAAAATATTTGAGTGCTTATTCCGATAGTTTGTTACTTAATGTAACAAACAATCCTGTAGAGTCGTTTAATTCGATAATCTGCAAAGAAATCGGTGGAAAGCGCATTAACTTTGGTGCACGAGGTTCTTACAACGTTAGAATTGCGGGAGCTGTATTACAATATAATACGCAACAAGCTCTCACAAAATTACATGAAAACGTATGTGAGACTGTTCCTTCTACTATTAAGAAACTGGAAGAACGACGGCAAATGAAAGTTGTTCGAACCAGAGAATCTAGAATAGTAAATGGAAGAAAACAGAAGAAAGAGAGTGGAACCGATGGTTATTATGGACCAAAATCGCAACAAGCAGATATTCCACTTCACAGATTTGAAGAATTGAAACGACACCATTTACAAAAATTGACCGAAGATGGAAATAATTGGCAACAAATAGAACGCGACACAAGAGACCAAAGTAATTGTGAGTTATGGCAATTACTGAGGAGGGAATTGTTGACAGCATCTAATTTCGGAGTCGTGTGTCGTATGAGACCAACAACGTCTTGTGCAATGACTGTAAAAAATATTTTGTTTCCTCCATCTGTTGATACTGCTGCTATGGTTTATGGTCGCGATATGGAGGAAGTAGCAAAACAAGATTTAGCTGTAAAATTAAACAAAGAAATTAAACCATGTGGATTGTTTATAGATTGTGACAATCCATGGTTGGGTGCTTCTCCAGACGGACTTCTCAATGAAGATGGTCTGGTTGAAATCAAATGTCCTCTATCAGCTGAGAAGTTAACAGCGGAAGAGGATATATATAAGCAACCTCAAATAAGCAATATTTTTGATAAAAAAAACAAAAATAAAATGAATAAAAATCACCGGTATTTTTATCAAGTACAAGGTCAGTTGAATATTACACAGCGAGATTATTGCATTTTCGCTGTATGGACACCAAACTTCATAAAGACATTATGTGTTTATAGAGACAATGATTTTTGGCAAAATCAAATGTTGCCTCTTTTGACACGGTTTTATTTTGACTGTATGCTTCCAGAAATTTTGGACAGTCGGCATAATAGACATATGCCCATCAGAGAGCCAGAATATATTTTGAAAGCAAAAGAAAAATCAAAAATAGGTAATCGGAATACTAAACGACAAAATGTAACGGCAATGTGTATTAATCCAGAGTCGTTACAAGAAAACAAAAAATTTAAATGTTATGATATTCCAAAAGAAAGTACAACTGATATTGTTGCTTCTGAAGAAGATGACTGTATTTTAGTCAGTCATTCAATATTAGAAAATTTGACACCAAATGAAATAACAAGACGTAAAAAAGTATTAGATGACACTATTATTGATCTTTCTGCTGTAAAAAACAATGTCTGGTCCAAAGCTGGTAAATTAAATGACGAGTCATTGGATCTATTCTTACGGATTGTAAGAGAAACTTCTCTTCGAAACTCAAAGCGTACAATATATAGAGTTTCCAGACTTAATAACAGTCAGTCGTA